CAAGCAAAACAATCAAAGAAAACACAATAAGCAAAGCAACGCAATGCAAAGCCAAGCAAAGCCAAGCAAAGCCAAGCAACCGCAAAGCAAAGCAAGCCACGGCAAAGCAAACAATACACATAAACGACACAGCGTATCAACTCAAACCAAAGCAAGGCAAAACCAAACAAACATCACCAAATCGTGACACACCGAAACAAAATAGTTTGTTTTGAACGTGTCGCCCAAACAAGGTTCATGACCCCTTGGAATCCAGGATCCAGAGGTTCCTGCGCATGGTGCTTCCCAAGACGCGTTACTGCTTAGTGCTTGACGCCTCGTGCCCTGGACACGAGATTCTGGTGTGTCATTTTTCAGAGCAGCTTATTTTTTGGTGGTCTGAAAGGGACGCCGATTTGGGGGTCCCTAATTGTGAGTTCGAGACAACCCCATGAGTTTTTGGTGTTTTGCCGTTTTGTTTGTTTTGGACTGCAAAGGGAACCTCGACAGTTATGAAAACCAGTGAATTGAAGTTCTTAGGGGAAACCCAATGACCTCAAAACAGCACTCTCCCCAGGGCCCCAAGGTTAAATTAGGGGGCATCCCATGCCTTTGTCAAAACCCGTAAAACGGAGCTGCCATCTGGAGAAAGATGCGCCAGACCTAGACCTTTCTTTGGTGTCGCCTTTCTTCCGCGAATCGGACATTCTGTGTCCTGAAGATTATGGAAGATTCGCTGGGAAGTTTTCGCAGTAGTGAAATGGTGTCTCTACCAAGAGTCCCGCTGGCCAGGGGAAGAGGGAAAGTCAGCCCCATTTGAGTTGTAGTCAAGACCCAAGAAGATCAAGCTTTCGGCCAGGTCCTAATGGTTTCTTGGACTGATGGAAACCTGCAAAAGTTAAGCCCTTGTTGGGAAAGGGCAACTTGCCAGCAAGCTAAGATCTGAGGAGAAGTGGAGAAACGCAGATGCTGGTGCCCCTCTTGCTGTGGATGGAGTAATTACACATATGCAATCATTTTCCCTGCCATTGCCCTAACTGCTGTCTGCTTCTTTGACTACAGTGCGAAGGTTTGGATCGCTCTGTTGGCCTTCAGTGTGTTATTCTTCCTGTGGCAGAGATACGCAATCCTGCTTGGCTTTCCCCTAGTCCATCAGAGTGTGCATGTTTGAAGCTGGTGGATGGAACCGCGCATTCTCAAAGTTCCTCGGATGAAAGGAGGCACGCTAAGGGAAACATTCATTTTAAGGGGTGCCCCCCCCCCTTTCAAGACACCTCACATGTGGTTGCCTTCTGGATGTATAACTTCCACGCGGTTGTCTGCACACTGCTTCTGCAATCTGGATTTCAGATTGCGGCGAGTGCCTCTCCTTTGCCAAGAAAACAACCGCAGTGCCGCAATGATCCTCAGAGGCCAGGGCTTTGGAGTCCTGCGCGAGATTCCAAGGGACTGGCTGCAAGTTGGGATGGCATTGCGGGCTTAGGCAGCATTATGGTTATGCGCCTTCCTTGCCAAAACGAAAGGGCCATGGGATGGCAACAAATGTGAGGAAAGTTTCAAGGATTAGGGAAGAACAAAATTGAGTTGATGTCTAGTCACTTCTCATGGGCTCTCGCCCCTCTGTCAATCCCTGGAAGCGTTGCCGGGAGACAGGGCTTTTCCTTCCTGCCAGAACCGATGCAGCCTCCGAATTGAACATGGAAACAGTTTTGCGCATGCCCTGGAGATCTCTTGTTTTTGGGGTCGAAATGGACTTCGGGGAGTGTTTTCTGGAGCTTGTTTCTTATGGGTAATCTCACTTGAGCAGAACAGGCGGGCGTGACCTGTTCCTTCTCCTGTGCGCACGAACCGTGGCCCGCAAACAATTGTTCAACAGGTTGTTGTCCAGCCCAGGCACTGGTAGGCGCCAGCCTATAAAATAACGGGACAACGTCATGAATTTGGGAACAGCTACTCGGTGACCTGGCCACTTGGAGTGGTTGCCTTGTTTGCCACCAATGATTCTTACCCTTGGTGTGATGGACCCCCAGTAGCTTCGTGACGCTTTTGGGCCAATCGAAGTCAAGAGGAGCATAGGAATCAGCCCCAGAAGCTCTTCAAACTGGAGGATGTTCGGGGGTATTTATTTATTGCCAGGCTTTGATTGATCATGACCCACCATCAATGCCTGAGACACAAAGAGGCCTGTTTTTCTTTCAAGGAAGCCTTTTTTGACCTATATTATATTGGGGCTCGAGGTCACCGAATCCCATTTAGAGTGCCAAGGGGTTTGGCGTGCCCAAACAAGCAACCAGGTGGAGCGCTCCTGCTTGGAGGAAATGTGCGTGAAAATTGCCGTAGACAGGTCAGCTGCAATATTTGGGGTGGGTTTTCCTTGCGGTTGCCCTAGGCAGCCTCAGTAACGAGCTGGGGGTTGGACGGATTTGGGAAGGGAATCGCCGTAATGGCCATATCTAATTTCCAAGGGGACCAAAAAAGCAGCCCCCCAGAGACACATTTTCAGACATCTTAAAATACGCTC